AATCGTAGTGGGTTAGATGCGATGTGGCCTATACAATGACTTGCGGTGGCCAGCCGATGTACAAGTCAGTGTTTTATCCTCCCAGACGAATCTGGTACCAATTCACCGTCCCCGGAGGGTAGAAGGCTTGGTTGGCCTGGGCGGGTGTCGACCTGGGATTCGAACCCAGGACCGCGCGAGTGGTGAGCGCCCCACTTGTCACTACACGCGATCTCCCCTCTCATCTCCGAACCATTCGTCCTTATCCACATAGCGAAAGTTGATGATTGCGCAGTATAACTCCTGGTTGTTATACATCTGAGCCTGTTGAAGCATCGTTATGCGAAACCCACCCAGCGGTCGTATTTGGTCGCTAAGGAGGGGACCGTTTTGGGCGCCTGAGAACTTTTCCGATGGTTAATCAGTTCCGTTTCACAGACACTAATTGCTACTGCTTTTTCGAGGGGTGGGGCGAAAAAGCAGTAGCAATTAAACAAGGGAGGGTGCTTACACATTATTCTCCCATTCAAGTCTCTATTACTCAAATACAGTTTTTAGGCGGAATCTGGACTTCTTGAAAGGATCGTTCTGGCCGAACTTTGAAGATCTCATTGAGGAAGGTGTGCCAGTCTACAGGTGCGTATTTACCTTCAGTCTTGATGTGGATTTGGTTACAGCGGTGTTTATTACAAGTTGAATTTGATATGCTTCCACTTTGAAATCGCATGGTTTTCAGGTTTACACAAAAAGCTGGAGACCTGGTATGGGTCGGTGGTGGATGTGTTCATTGGGTGCAAGCTACTGGCTGGTGCAACAACATCGCTTGGAATGTTGGCCCTCTGACTGCATCTCAGCTGCAGATTTCCATCTTCAGCTATGAATGGAATAAATTGCAGGTGATTCTTGATGGGCATATGTCAGACCACGTCGTACGTCGGAGGATTCCCAGCGGGGAGTGAGGGTCGTATTCGGTCTGAGAATTTTTTTGATGGTTGATTTTTCGTGCTTCAGAAGCGCTACCTACGTGGCCTCTGAGAGAAATTGGCTGCTTTAGAAAAAAGGTTTTTCCGGTTGTTCTTTTTCGTGCTAGGAAAATATCCGGAAAATGTGGTAGGAATGTGGTAGAAGTTGGGTCGGATGGGGAAGGGGGGAGGTCATTCTAGGAGACGAAATTAGATGGAGGGGGTCGTATTTTATTTTCCGAAAATTTTGCCCAGCGGCAGGAGCCAGTATTTTTATTTTTATTAGCCACTATTTTTTCATATTACACTTTACTGGTAAAGAATTGAGGAAATAACCTGGTCTTTCAGAGTTACAAATCTCTTGTACCGATGCAACATTTATGTTGGCAGTTGGCAAAGAACATACGGTTCACGAATCAGAAGGTGTTCAGTTTGATAAGAGGTCAACTAATCAGATCCTTAGCGTTCTGTAAGATGGTTGCGAATCTCTCTACATCCCGTGGAAAACAGCTGAAGCCACAGCCGCGAGCTAAAGGCGAAATCACACATTACTGTACTTTGTGTGAGGTATGTTTTGATCGTTTCTAGTAGGATTCTTTCAGTGTAACTGTACGTATGGTACAATTTCAGGTTGAGGTGTTCAATATTTTATTTGTGAAAGAGATTAATGGAAAGTTCCCGGTGTACTGTGTATATTGTGCAAGGCGGTTAGTTTTTTGTTTCTCATTCCAAAGCTGGACGATCATGGAAACCTCAAAGACAGTTCTCGCAATCAAGTTTTACTGGTAGTAGGTGTTCAGTCATGAACCAGTAGCTCATAGATAAAAGAAGCGAAAAAAAACCTTGGGAACACTCTGAACAGAGACCCCTTAGCAGTGTGGCAGGCCCTTAGACGAGCTCATAGGACGTCGGCAAGCTAATCAGAAGGATTCGACGTGCAACCTTATCCCGTCAAGAGCGTAGGTAATCACCTACAACGCTCCAGGCAACGCTATACACACGCAGTTCCGCTTGTAAGCCGTTGTCTTGCAGAGTGAAAGTAATCGTGGTTGCAATGGTTGCAATAATCACGCGTCTCTAGCTTCTTTATTTCGCCGTTTCAGTGACTAAACGGTATATTGTCTGCAAATGCGGACAGCGGTGCCAATACACATAGGCATTGCGCAGATCACTTGATCGCGAGAACTGTCTTTAAGAATATTTTCACATTTTAGAGTAAACATCAACTTCTTTATATTACCTTAACATTTCAGAGCGGGACTCGACGATTTTATTGTTCTTCAGCAGATGACGTTTCATGATCTTGCGAAAATTTTCGATAGTATGCAAATGAATCTAATACACAAAGCTGCCCTAGTATGTTAACTGCTTCATCGACTATTTTTGTGTATCGGAACTCGGAACAACAGTTTTTGATAGTTTTGCTATGTTCTGGGTGGTCTTTTGAGAGCGTAACTGCATGCATTCTTATTCTCGCTTGATTTTTTTTTCAACCTGCCTATACCTAATTTCTTTCGTGTCTCTGACTGCCTCAAATAAGTCATACAGGTTTGACTGTTCAAGGTTAACCTGGAAAGTGTATCTCTAATCGGCGGGTGAATCTTCTACTCGCCAGTACCTTTTGTTATTGTTGTTAGTCTTTCAGTGAATATTTTTTCATTTTCACCGTTAACTTAAGGTATTTGCCCATCGTTTTATTATATTGTATTGAAATTGAGTATCCTTTCACTAGCGCTACTTTGCGTTGTTACATCCTGTAAAATCGTTACATATTTAGTCTGTTTTATCAAGTCGAATCTACCTGTTTTATTTATTTCTTTCATTATTAATAATAATTGATCATTAATATATTGGCTCAGATTTGGCTTTATTATACACTTCAAAGAAATAATCCTTCGGTTTCAGATTAGTTACCCTGGATTGGTAGTATTCATGCTCAGGCTCATTTAGAAAACATTAACGTTCGTTAGAGTCGACGTTTAATGTTCATTGTTCACTGTATGAATTATTTGTGCATTTTCCTGTACCATTTGTTCATGTGAAAAGTGTTGTGAAAGGTTTTAATTTTCCGACAGCGAAAACAATCCCTGTACTACCTTTTTATCATGCAAACGTCTCGGATCTCCTTAGTCGTGAATGGCAGTGTTCACAGTAAAGCATATTCTGTTGATGTTGTTGTTTATCCCGGAATGAAACCAAATATGACAATGAAATGGTGAAAATGAGAAAGAAATAATAATTGAGTAATACTACGCCCATATTTTGCCGCAGCGTCCGGCAGCGTCAGCGACTAGCAAAGTATAGATATCGATCTAGCGTCTGCCAGCGTTCACTAGTGACCGGGAGTAGAGAGTATGGGGAAGTAGGAGGGTAGCAAACAGCTGGATTAGGCGTCGTGAAATTGCGGCGTGTGCAACCGCACCGCACAACTGCTAAAGCACAGAATTATGCAATTTAATGTACGGTGTAGTGTAGTATTTGTACAAAGTAGCAGAGATGAGGAGGAGGAGCATGAGAGCCACATAAGTAAATACAAATAAATAAATCCTCTTCTCAGTAGTGGTGCGTGGAATAACTAAGTGTTCCATGAGGTCACCAGTGAGGGAATGGTTTCAACTTCCCGTGGAACTTTGAATGGAGACCTATATGCATCGGTACAGTCTCGAATGCGGATTACAAATATGCAGAATAAGAATCCAGATTTGTGATCAGGGTACAGCATGGGGATGTGCGAAATGGCGGTGTGAGTACGACCCCCCCTCGAAGGGGGTCCAGATACGACCCCCCCCCTGCTCTAACTGAAAACCAGATGCATGTTCACCACAAATGGCTTCCTGATCTGGATTTTCGAAAGGCGGACTCTGCTCTTAAAATCCAGGCAATAAGAGGCTGTTTCAGCCTCATGCAATATAAGGCTGAACAACAGCCTCGCATCCTACAATTTTGTCTTACAAGGGAACCCCAACAGGTCGATCCGGCCATTTGCAGTGAGATGTATCTTGAGCCGCCAAATCCAAATCTGCCCTCCGATTTTGCGGAACGATTCTCCAAAGGGAGTTACGGACCATTTAATCTTAGCTCCGTTTGCTCAAGTTGAGAAGGATAACTGCATGCGGCAAGCCGCCGATGGCCTAGTGGATAAGTGCATTGCTTCAGAGACACGAGGTCGAATGTTGGAATCCTTGGCTATCGAAATCTTTTGCTTTTCATTCAAAACACTTGGTATGAGCCCTCCGAAATTTCTATTTGGCCATTTCGCCTAATTTCTTGATTAGTTGCCAACGAAAGGCGGGCGATTCCCCATGTAGGGTTCCTCTTGAAAACTTTTTTATTATGAGGATAACCACATGTCACAAGGGTTTTTGCAATGAAATACCATCATATTCATGTTCAGCGGGTCAAACTACCCCTGGGGACAAATTTCTAGCCGAATCTGATATTTCCACCTAACTTGGAAAATGTGTGCTGTTTCATGGGTAATCGAAAGCATAGGGGAGCTCACCTACCGTTGGTGAATGGTCTCGAGATGGAACTACCTCGTGGTAAAGAGGACGATGATGCAAACGGCAAGAATAAGTAAGCCGGGTAATGTCTTTGCGAAAAGGCACATGAAGAGGTATTTCAGTTGGAAAACCAGTCATCATCAGTATGGTAGTCGTAGTATCGCTTTGGCTATCAGTCAGCCACAGCTATTCATAACCCATTTTCTCGAAAATGAGTTAGAACCTCGGATTCCGCTGGGGTGACGTCTCTAGGGGTTATTTGACCCCCTGAACACGAATATGATACCTGTTTTGCGCGAAGAGCGCTGTGAGTTGCGCTACAGGTGCTAACGCTTTGGCGCTGGCGCGCCCGGAAGAAGAAAAGCAATAAAGAAAAACCTCACAACTCCGCTCAGAGAATCGTTCCGCAAATTTTAAAGATAGTCTTGTGTTCATCGTGGCAAGGTGAGTACAATGATGTACATTTCGTTGCAAATGGCCGGGCTGACGTGTTGGCCTTTCCTGGTCAGCTTGTGCAAACACAGCAAAGATTAAATGGTCCGTAACTCCCTTCAGAGAATCGTTCCGCAAAATCGGAGGGCAGATTCGGATTCAGCGGCTCAAGACACGTCCATACGTATACATCTCATTGTAAATGGCCGATCGACCTGTTGGGGTTCCCTTGTTAGGATTCAAAATAAAACTCCTCGTTCGATAACCATGTATGACATGCAACTTGTAAGGAACACAATCGAAACAGCGACTAATGGTGATCATTGATAAGCTAAATTGGTGAAAAAATAGCCCCAAGGTCAGCGTGTCAGGCCCAGATGTGCATTCAATGAATGGTGACGGGGAAATCATGAAAACATGAACGACACAACAAAGCGAAACATGAAAAATAAAAAAAATGCGGAGCCAAATGAGAAAAAGGATAACCAGGCGGCAGTAAATCGTTCTATACTTGGCTATTATCGCAAGTTCGCAACCGCTTTCGCTGCAAAAAACGTCATTGGAGCGCGGTAACTCGAAAGTCAGCGTCTGGGGTCTTTTCAGGAGCTTATATCTCTTTTAGGTGCGGAGCTTTTGAGGAATGGTGAGCAGCATGCAACGGCAAAGTTTCTACTGTTGTGTATTCTACCTAGTTGCAAACTGAACAATCCCCCGTTGGTGAAATATTCCGGATGGGTTTTGGATAGGCTAGGGGTAAATGGCAAGCGGGTTTTTATGCTTCACACGAGGACTACTTATTTCGAACGCAATTTCATCAGGATTGAAATAGTCTTGAAACCGCCCTATCTTTTCTCTTTCCAATAAGCTTTACAGTTTTTCTGAAGACCCACTAGTTCAGGAGATATTTTAGATGGGTCACAGACGCGCTACCCTCTGACCCACCCGAAAAATCGACTCCTTCTGTGCCATTGTGAGGATACACCTTCGAAAACTCCAAAACACATATTTCCCTTCAAATGAGTGAAAGAGGAGCTCGGCTATCACTGATCGATTTGGTCCGAGCGTGCGCCGTGCATTACTCTCCTACGCAGAGGTGATGGAAAGGTATAAATTCTAATTTGAGGTGCTTTTATCCATGCAAGCAGATGTTTGTTTAGGGTTTGGAAAGGACAATACGCACGAATCTGTTTGAGACGTATTATTTAGTCATCTACGTACTTACGAGTTCATGCTATTAATTGATATTTATTTTTATTTATTTATTCTTGCTATTCTTGCTATATTGCTAATCAATTTTTTATTATTTTGTAGTCCTCCTTACATCCGGGTCTTCTGCAGCTTTCCGTCCGTTCCATCAAACTTAGCAATGACACTTTTGTACTGTTTGATGCCTAGCGAGCCTACTTTTGCGATACTCCCACGTCCCCGCGGCCAAGTACGATCCCCTTTCTGTGGATTTCGCATGAAAAGAGGGCTGTTAAACGGAGCAGTTAAATCTGTAAAGAATACACTCATAATAATTTTCATTTTTTAACATCTTGACTTCCATAGCTCCACTCCCACTATCAACTGAAATGTCGAAGCATTGCCCGGCTCTGAGTGACCCTTGAGATTACGACCCCCCCCTCCCCAGCGGCCAAGTACGACCCCCCCCCTATGGGTTTCGCACAACGATGCTGTACCCTGTTTGTAATCAGAGTCTGAGAGCCCATCGGGCAGTTACATCTCATTTCGAATGGCCACTTCGACCAACCATCCTTTCCTGGTGAGCACCCTAGAATTCGCTTGAGAGGTTCCCACATCCCTTACAATCTGCATATT